CGATGTCTCCAGGCCTTGCAGGTATGTTTTCTATGTTCCTAGGTTTTTGACAATCGACAAGCATCTTTTGTTCTTTCTTTTCAAAACCGACTCCATTTTGGTGGCAGTATCCAAAAGGCATATTCGGGTCGGAAGGTGGAGGAGGTTCTCCGGGATCGATTAGGTACGGGTTCTTTATTTCGTTCTGATCATCTTTGATCATTCTCCTAAACTCGTTGACCCTTTTATTCCAGGATTCGCAGGCTTTATTAAGACCTCTTGCAGATTTCAAGTTCCATTCAATCGCCCTTTTTTCATCCTTAGGGGGTACTCATGCTATTTCGGTAGCACAATCCGAGATCGTATTGTCTGGTCAAATCATTGTCTTCAGCGGAATTCAAGTGCAGCCGTTTGCTCACTTCACATCTGATTCCCTTATTTTTGTCCTTTTCAATCTCAGCCACCATTTTACGACAGGGCCCAACTCGATATGTCTTATCCGCGTTGCTAATTTCTACTGATTCTTGATAATATATGTGCGTTTTAATTTCGTCCTTATCAACATCAATTCTATTTCGATAACAGGGTCCAACATCATGTACTTCCGAAATGTCATCTTCAGCTTTGTTTGGGTACCATTCAAATGCCTTGAGCTCCTCTTTTTCAATACTAATCCCATTTTGAGGGCAAGGTCCAAGGTCAGTTCCTTCATCAGCACGTTCCATATCGGCAGGTCCTCGGTAATCTATCGAGATTGCTTCATTATTCGGATCAGGTGGGTCTTTATTTTCCTCATCGTTCATTTGGCATGTTTCATCTTTTTCATTTTGGTAACAGTTATCAATGCTATTTACTTCATTAGCGTTTCCCATATCACCTGAGCTTCGATGATGGATAAGTGTATTATGTTTATCCTCCTCATAACAAGGTCCAAGATTATATGTTCCATTAGTATCACCAGTATCTACAGCCTTTTGATAATGACGAATGGATCATGGTCATTCTTTTCGACACCAATTTCATTTTGGTAACAAGAACCACGAATATGACCCATATCGGCAGATGGTGGGGGTTCTCTAGGTTTAATTAGGTATGGATTCTTTATCGCCTTTAGGTCGTCTTTGATCATTTTCTTGAACTCACTAACCCTTTTAATCCAATTTGCACAGGCTTTATTCAAGTTTTCCATAGAAGGACGTTTACAACTACTTTGTGAATTAGGGTCCTCTAATCTTGAATTTTTTTCTAGCGCCTCCTCATTTTTTTTTGACCATGATTCCACTTCGATAGCAGAGGCGTCCAGAATCGAATTGTCCATCCAAACTTCCAAGCTTGTACTGTTCATTCGTATTGCTATCTTCAGCCGGTTTTGAGCACCATTCAGATGCCTTATTTTCGCCTTTTTTAACACCGATTCCGTGTTGATAACAATGCCCAACGTCATATGCTCCATCAGTAGAATACAACTCACGTGGCTTGGGGTAATGCACGTAGGCTTCATGTTCATCCTTTTCAAGTGCACTTTCAGAGCATTCAAACCGGGATCTTTCATCAGCACATTCATCGTTCGTTTCATCAATATCATCGATTTTACATCCAACTTCAATTACTTCTTTGACGTAATCCATCTCTGCAGACTTTTCATAGCATTCGAGTGCCTTATGCCAGTCACTTTTAACCTTAAATACATTTGTTTTACAGGTCCCAGGGTCATAGCTTTCATCAGTGGAATCTATAGTGGACGATTTTCGGGATCACTAAATGCCGCTGGTGTTTGATCATAGGCGAAGGCCTTGAGTGGGTCCTTTTCAACTCTGATTCTTTCATCCTGTTTGACACCGATTCCATCAAGTTGGTTCTTCTCAGCGGACTTTAAATACCAGTCTTTGTCCTTTTTAACTCCAATTCCAATTTGGCAGCAATTCTCCTGGGCTTTTATTTTGTCAATATCATCAGTCGTTACAGGCTTCGGTTTTTCAGGTCCCTTCGGTTTAGGCATCCAATTTCCCAATGTTTCCATATAACCGTCGATCAGGCTTTCCAGGGTGATTTCAGAGTTGAAAAGGACCCACTCAAGGCCTTCGCCTATGATCAAACACCAGCGGCA